GAGCACGTTCTTCCAAGAGAGCAACATTCCCAACAGCCACCACCACCCGCAGATGGTAAGTGCCCCTCGGGTCCGCGGACGGGGCCGCCCGGTGCGGCAGGTCGCTGTCAGGGCGCCGGTGACAGCCATGTTGCCGGGGAGCGGCGCGCCGCGAATGTAAACAAAGAGCCAAAATGTCTTCCAGGAAAGAGCGCTCCCAGGCCGGCGCTGGCTCGCCCAACTTTGGGACCCGCCTCCAGTCTCCTGGATCGGGGCCTGAGGCCCGGCGCCCGGCGCTGTGCCTTGGGCCTAGAGGCCCGGGTGGAGGGGAGGGAGGAGAAACGGCCCCGAGTACGAGCAGGGACTGGGGAGTCTGGTGGCAGAAGATGGGGAAGGAACTCTATGATAATCAGACCTCTGGGGAGCCCAGGGGAGGGAGACCGAAGTAGGGACTTGTGGGTTCCTGCAGCGCCCAGACACAGACACACACACAAGTGGGTTCCTGCAACGCGCAGACACACACACACACACACACACACACACACACACACACACACACACCAGTGCTGCAGGAAGCAGGGAAGGCATAGATCCACCCTGGCTCCGGAAGCCCAGCTCTGCCCCCGAAGGTCGGATGGCCCTTCCAAAGCTTTGGGGGAACATGCCCTGTGTGGAGGATATGCAGATTTATAGACCCGAGATAAGGTCAAGACTTTCTTTTGTGGGTTTTTTTTCCTCTTGTTTTGGTTTTCGAGACTGGGTTTTTCTCTGTAGCTTTGGATCCTGTCCTGGAACTAGCTCTTGTAGGCCATGCTGGCCTCGAACTCAGATCTGCCTGCCTCTGCCTCCTGAGTGCTGGGACTGAAGGTGTGCGCCACCACCGCCCAGCTAGTTTTTTGGTTTGGTTTTGTTTTGGTCAAGCAAGACTTCTTTTAGTCTCAGTATGTTAAGAAGCATGTGTCCAGGAAACAGAAGTGCCTCAAACCTGCATTTGTCTTCTCCCTCCAGCTTGGCTCCGGGCTAAAAGCCTTTGCCCTCCTGGTCAGTGGGTACTCTGCTTCCTTGAGGCCCAGGCCATCCCATCTCCACTCCAAACCCTAGTTATCTATTAGCTCTGAACATGTAGGAGGGCCTGAGCCCAGGGGAGGGGTGGTAAAACATTATTCCCAAGATTTGCTGTTGGACATTTTTGGCATTTTTTCCTGGAGCGTCCTTGTCCCTGGCTCTCTCAAGGGACAAGCTGCATATGGCTCCTCTACCGTGTCTTGTTCTTGGCACTGTTTTCTTCCAATCAGCGAAGCCAGAAGACAAGAGTCCGCCGCCTTGATTTAAACTAGCTTTTAGCATTTGGAGCCAGGTGGGAAAATGAGAGGTACTGAAGCCAAGCTCTTAGAATTCATCATCTTCAAGACCCCTCTCTTGCATCCAGCCGCAAAGACTTAGCTTCCTGGACCTGAGAATACTCTCTCTCCATTCCTACTCCAAATTCCTTCCTGCCCACAAGGCCACTCAGAGAAGCACAGCTCTGCTTAGGGGCTTGGAACAAGGAAGCTGGCAGGCCCCAACTTGAACTGGAGTCCTGTTTGGTTCCTTCTCCCCTCCCCCACCTCTGCATATCCGGGTGTGTGTGTGTGAGAGATACCCTTTGGAAGCTTCCCTTGGGGAGATGGCTGGTTTTGTAACACAGACATTATAATCAGTGCATCCCTCAGGGACACGTGCTAGGTGCTTCCCCGGCCCTGATCTAGGAGTCCTGTTCTTGAGACAAAGTAATTAGAAAACATTGATAAAAACATGAAAATCCAGTGCTTGGGAGGTTGAGGCAGGAGGATTGCTGTGAATTCCAGATCAGTCTGGGCTCTGTCTAGCAAGATCCTTTCTGAGATGAACACAGTCTCTAGACCAGTCACCATGGAGTGGCCATAATGCTAAAGGACTGTCCTGCATGCCACCAGCCATGGTTTGTGGTTAAATGATAAGGGTCCCCAGTTGTGGGGGAGGGGCAAGGCCGGCAGTTACAGAGGGGAAGCATAGGGACCCTGGTCCTGCTAGGGACACAGATTGAGATCACAGGAGGGCCTTTAGTGTACTTATAAGCCCCTGCTTTCACCAAAGCAGAGAGGCCCAGGGATCTGCCTGAGGTGACTTGGGCAGGTGGGCACAGGCCCCATTAACCTTCCAAGCTGTTCTCCAGAGCAGGCTAACTGTTGAAAAGACTGGCCTCTGGCTTGGCGGACTGGGGAAGTCAGTCACGATGCTGTGATGCAACTGGCCTCTGCCTGCTCACAAACCCCCATTCATTGTTTCCTGCAGCAGAGAAGTCATGGGGGTGGGCAGAGCGCAATCAGGGTGGGAGGAGGGAAGTGTCTGGGTGGGGCTAGACCTGGTTGCGGCCTTTGGCCTTCCTTGTGGGGGCCTTGGAGCAGACAGTGGTCCAAATCCCCTGGGAGCTGATGTGGCACAGCGTCAATGGACAGACTGAGGTGGGGTCCTTGCCTCACTTTCTTGCTTTGCTTTAACTAGAGGGACAAAGTTCTAGCATCCCGTCCTGTGTCTGCCACCCCCACCCCCCACCCCCAGTGCCCTGTGCCTTGGGGAGGAGCCAGTGTTGCTAAAATTAGAAGCTGAAAGGACTCCCGGCCTCCTGAGGAAGGGAGACAAGGCTTTGAGGTCAGAATCGGTTCCTGCAGGTCTTGGGCTCTGATCCACCTGTTCCCAGTCCATGGGCAGTGGCACTTGTTACCCTCAAGGGGTGTGCTGCTAGCATCTGGGGCTGGCGTGGCAGACTGCATGTTTGTGCGGGAGCCCAGACCTGAGTGGCACTTAACCCTGAATGCATAGTGCTGTTGGAGGCTTCTGCACCTGCATGCCTGGGACCCTGCAGTCTTACTCCACAGTTTGCACCTACTGTGGGTGCGTGCTCTGTCATGACTTAACCCTTGGGTCTCGGTTTCCTCATTTGCAATACGGAAAGAATTGAGTTAACAAGATCTACTTGTAGGGAATCTGAGTGGAGGGGTCCAGAGTCTGAGACCTGTTGGCTGAACGTGTGGAATGAATGGAAACCCCAAGAAAGTGCAGGCTTCCTGGCTGGTACTGGAGAAGACCCTGCATCTGGCCTGCTCCGTGGTGCCTAACACCCTGGGGCCATCTGAGGGTGGACTGTGGAGGAAGCCAGCTGGCTTCCCTAGTCAGGAAAGGAGCTGGGCTGTGATGTCCTGGGCTGCTCCTTGTCCTTTCATGTTGACACCTTAGCTTTGAGTTGGAATTAACCATTGCATCCCATGCCCCTTGATGTTTCCAAACACTGGCTAACACCCTTGGATTTTCCTCTTGACTGAGGGAGATACGTGGTCTATTAAAGCTGTCTGTGTACCAGAGGCACCAAGACCCTGCAGGTAGCCCTCACCCACACTTTATTTTCTCTCCACAGATGTGTACTCCCAGCAACACCCCTGCCACACCACCTAACTTCCCGGATGCACTAGCCATGTTCTCCAAGCTTCGAGCCTCTGAGAGCCTGCAGAACAGCAACAGCCCCATGACAGCGGTGGCCTGCTCGCCCCCTGCAAACTTCAGCCCCTTCTGGGCCGCATCCCCACCCAACCACCAGACGCCCTGGATCCCACCCTCTTCCCCCAACTCCTTCCATCATCTGCACTGCCCACAGCCCACGTGGCCCCCTGGAGCATCACAGGGGCCCACCCAGCAGAAAGCCATGGCAGCCATGGACGGCCAGAGATGAGACTGGATGGCACTGGGCTGGAGCAGGGGCAGTCCAGGGTTGTGGGGACACAGAGCAGGGCTGGGGAGGGGGGACATGAGGGCAGGGTTTCTTGAAGATCGCACTGGAAGATTTTATAAGAGAATTTTTGTGGGTGGGGGTACAGTAAACGTCCTGAGCCACTTGGGGTCTTCAGGAGTTTCTCTTTGGGAAAGTTTTTTCTTCTTTTTAATATATAACTATAATATATATGAATATAGATGTATGTGAGAGAGGGGCCTGCACATCAGGGATATTGGCTTCAGAAGGGAAGGGCCTCAGAATCTCCCCTTGTTGACACCTTCCTCTGTCTAATTTGGGGTAACAAGGGTGCTCATAGTCAGATGGAGTGAGCTTGCAGCTGGGTGGGTATGCTGCCTTTAAAGCCATGTTGGCCGTTAGGAAGCCCCTCCCCCAAGGGAGGTCCCCAAAGGGTCCTGTTGGAGTCATCGACTTTCCTACCCCATCAATGGTAGATGGAGTTTTCATCTCTGCTGGTGGTGGCCTCAGTGGCCCTGAAACTCATCACCCTGTCCCCAACTGAGTATGCTGAGCTCCTGGGACTGAAGAGTTGGCTGACCTCTGAGTGGATACTTGGCTGTCCCATCCCTTACTGTCCTGGCTGTCCCACAGGTCTCCAGCCTCTGACTAGCGGCAGAGGAGGACAACTAAGGAGAGCCCGCCTTTGGATTGAGTTCCTAGATTAAAAAAAAAAATCACATCTCACCAGGGTGCAATTTTAATTTAAAAACTTAAAGACTTTTCTAACTTCCCTGGTTTGTGGTGGTTTTATTTGCTTTGGTGGGAAAGGTCAGTTGGGACTCTGGCTGGGGTGGCAGTGGTTTGTCATTCGGCCATTGTATTTCCTTGGCAAGGATACATGATCCCAGTTGAGTTGTTGGAGAGTACAGGCAGGGGGCAAGTCCTTCCCTAGTTACTGTACCCTCCCTCTTCCTCAGCCTAGAAGCCATTGTTACCATGGGCTCTGTGGTTTCTCAATGGCTGTGACCTTCAGGCCTACCTCTGTTAACCGCTCTACATAGGCAGATTTCTTGGGGCCTGTTGAACAAATACAGCCATGACCCAAATGTGTCAACCAGGGTTGTCCCAGTGCCACAAAGACTGGATTCCTGAAGGGGCTAGGGTGGTGGCTCCATACTTCTCAACCTCCCGCAGGATGTTAAGTAAGGTGGAGCATGCTTGCCTGGCTGTAGGAGTGGAGGATGTGGCATGCATGTGGCAGGGGTTATTCCTGGAGCCCTTCTTCACACTGTTAGACATGGGTCTAAACCCTTCCTGCCACTTCTGAGTGGTCAAGGACTGGGATGCAGAACTGAGTGGGGAGGGAGGGTAATGCCCCAAGTGAAGTGAAACTTAAGGGCCCAGCCAGAGCCACCCCACCCTCTTGCTGTGGTTCTTGACTCTTAAACATCTCCCCCACACCCCCTGGTGGGGTAGAGCAATGGGCCAGCTACCCTCTATTGCTTGTGACACGTGGTTGGACTTTTAAAGCTTGGGTTTGGCCTTTCGGTTTTGTTTCCTGGTTGTAACCCCCTGGGCCTCCTCCCAGAGCTGCCCCTGCCCACCTGTGCTTTCCCATGCCGGAAGGGGAAATCCCTGACTGACAGGCAGGGGCTGTTGGGACATGAGCCAGGGTCCATTCAGATGCAGGGCCAACTTGGAGAAAGGGTGGGGCAGCCATACCCAGGTATGGAATGGTGGGGGCTGACTCTTCTAGTTTAGTGAATGTGGCTCCTGTCCCTTCGTGGATGTAGACAAGTCATGGGCCTGCTTGTGCAGTGTCCCCGTGAGGCTTCTAGACCAGGGAAACTGAGCCGACCTTCTGACATTTCACTGCCAGAGAGGGACCAATGTGAGAGAAACAGGAGCCGAGGGGGTGGGGCTGGCCCTGGCTCTGCCCCTTGCTTCAGGGGTGCCCACAGGGGATTCATTGGCCAAGTCACTCTTTCCACTCTGTCACAAGCAGGATCACATAAAGATGCGGAGAAGGGAGGGAAACACTCCTGGGGCAGCCTCTGTCTCATGACACCCTGTCAGTACCAGCAGTGAGAAACCCATTTCTTGGCCGTTTCCTACCACACTTTTCCTGTGTGACTTTTGTCGCCCCCTCTTCTCACACCTCAAAGTGAACATCTTGCCCCAGATGCTTTCCCATGTGAGAGGGAGTGATGCAGACTGCTGTGTGCCCCATCTTCCACTCCGCACACCTCATTCTGAGGTGGGAATAGAAACCGCTTCGTTTTGAGAGAGGTTTTGCCATGTAGCCTTAGAGCTCTGGCCCCTCCTGCCTCAAGTTGCTTAGAGGGCTAGGGTTACAAGGGTGCCCCGCCACACTCCCCCAGAAACTGCTTTGACAATTCGGGGTTTCTTGAACTGAAGATGGGCCACTCTTTTTTTTTTTTTTTTGGACACCTAGGAACTGTCTGGAGGCCTCAGGTCAAGATTAAGCTGGCTGGCAGTGGTGCTGGGAGCTCTGATCTGTCCAGACCCTGAGCCTCAGGAACCCTGGATGGTGGTGACCGCAGGTAGAGGTGAGCACACGGGGCTGAGTGGCCATGGGGAACAGAACCCTCAGCCTCATACAGTTAAGAGTCCTGCTGCTCACCCCCTTGCTCCCCAGACAGCCGGGCACTGAGCCCCTCAGCAGGATTGCCTTTCAAGCCACCGTCTGCAGCGGCTCATCCAGAAGGACTGCGGAACATGGCTGATGGAAACCTGCCCAGCAGTGTGGGTTTGTTCTTCTGGCTGCAAGCTGTGTGTGGAGCCAGTAGCTGCCCTGAGGCAGCAGCCAGGGAGCAGGCAGCAGATACACCTCACCTCCAAGTAGAGTTAGTGCGCAAACAGCACGGGTCCCAGCCTACTCAGAACCTACTCAGAACGCCCCGGGCTGGTCCTCCAGACTAGAAGATGGAGTTAGCACTGATATGTGAACGGGCCCAGCCTGTCCCCAGGTTCCCAGAACCAGGTCCGGAGTCTTGCCCCAGCTATCCTCCCTGCCCTGGGTGCAACATTCTGCCCTTTCTGGGCTCCTGTGTCCTCAGAACAGCTCACTGGAGCTTGAGTTCTAGCTCTCTCTGACCATAAACTGGACTTGCTGTCCAGGGAACAGTCTGCTCTTCAGATGGGGGAAGGCCTGGAAGCCCAGCTGCTTGGCCGACAGCAGGTACCTGCCTCCTGCTCACTCCATCCTTCTTGAAGCAAGACAGCAGAAAAGTCTCCTGGCACTCAGACTCCTTTTTTTTTTTTTTTTCCAAAAAATTTATTTCTATCTCTGCTTAGTGAGCAGTGGTGGACCTCGGTCCCCGGGTGGGCTCCTCCATTCCCTCCCTAGGAGGCACATCCATGTGTACATTCAGACCAGATGGGCTGCGCTGCAGACTTGCCATCTCTGTGGGGATGGATGCATGGGCCACATTCGGCTGGGAGAGACGCCCCTCAGAGGAGACAGGTCTGTCTTTCTTTTGCCCTGAAGGAACTGAAAGACAGGAGGGGCTCAGCTTGCTCTGCCTGGTCCCCCATGCCCGCCAGGGTGCCCTCCAGCTTGCCCAAGGCCTAAGCAAATTGTGAACCACATTAGCCAGGCTGCTGGGCTGGGCCTCACAGTGCAAGCATTCATGGGTGTTTCTGAGTAAAGGCTTAAGGCCCTTCCACGATCCTTGGGTGGGAGCCTTTAGTAATAATGTCCCTCTGCAGGATCCCAGGAAGAAACGGCCTCTTGGATGGCACCTCCTGTTCTTTGAGAGGCAACACTCACACAGGAAGGACCAGAAAATTTTCCACATCACTTAGAGTCTCCAACTTCTAAATGCTAAGTATTTCTAAGTAGAAAGTGCCCGAGATAAGAAAGCCAGGGACCCGGGAGAAAGTCACAGAAACATGCTGTCGTGGCCCATTCTCATCCGTTACCAGTGCTAGCCCTTAAATTCCAGCTTGACCACTTCCTGCTCCCCCTCTCAGTGCCCCGCCCCACACTGTTTCCCTAGTTGTTCCTGGGCTAATGTTGGCTTCTACCTTTTAGTGTAGGTGTGTGAATTAAAACCGGCTCATAGACAAAAACCACCTGACCAGCGTGGCCAGCGAGAAGCCCTCAGTGATGGTGGGGTACCATGGCCACCGTGCCCACCTTTATAGTTTCCCCTCCCATCTCTGCCACAGGCTCTCATGTGCGCAGGGATGGAGGCATGGTACAGAGCTGGAAGGTCTTAACTCGGGTACGGGGACAGTGTACCAGTGTCGAGATCCTTGGGTATCCTGCAAGCCCTCGCAAAACACTGTGTGTGCAGACTGTTAGCAAGCCACCCCTCCTCTTAGGAGTGCTGGTCCTGCACACATACACACCCATGACAGATGAGGGGAAAGACTGGCTTAGTCGCCTGGTGGTGTAGGCCCTAGCCTCACATTCCAGCGAGGACCACAGGCCTTGTGGTAGGACCCTAGCCCCTTGGCCTTCTCTCTGGTCTAGCTTCTCAGAAGAGACCAGGGGACTCTAGGGGCTTCCCAGGCTAGAGGCCACCTACAGGACAGGGTCAGAGCGGCGGAGGTAGGAGGGGGTGGTTGTGTCCTGGACCCACAGCCTGGCTCTTAGAACATTTGTGTGCCTGGAGCCAGAGGGCGGCGTGCATCTGTCCCTATATCCTCTTGTGTGGAAGACAGAAGCGGTGTTCACCTCACAGACCTGGCACACGCCAAACATTTGGCAACTCAGTTTTCCCCATTCTCCCTCCCATGCCCAGCCTGGGTTGGAAGAGAAGGCTGTCCGGAGGGAAGGAAAGGCCTGGGGGTAGCGTTCAGGCTTCCAGCAGGAAGCTACCTGAATTGCTGTCAGCCAACACCTGCGCACTCTGTGCACTCTGAGGCCGAGAGGGTGGCAGGCCGCCGTTGCCCAGAGAAGGCTGTCTGTGCACGTGAGGCCGGGCATGCTGGACCTGCTGAGCCTGCTGCATCTGCTGCATCTGCTGCAGCTGTTGTAACTGCTGGAGCTGCTGCAGCTGCTTGGACTTGTGCTTCGTCATTCCTGGGGCAGAGAAGAACAGGAGGCAGCTCAGCACCGAGTGAGAGCTGTGGGGACCCATGGCGATGAGGAGCCAGCCGGGCTGGGATCTTTTACAACCGAAGTTTGTGGCTACGCCCCTTAGAAACACTTGGTTCATCTACCTGTCCCTCCATGCACCCATCCGCCCAGATTCTCTGAGGACTTGTACATATCAGCCTTGTGTAGGAACTGAGAGTTCTGGCCCAGGTTCGGGGTTCAGGAAGCAGACACCGGGGAGCGCTCAAGGCATAATGGGAAAAGGTCCGATATGACCTGGAAGTGGGCTTTCAGGAGCCTTGGTGTTAGAATCAGTTAACGGCCCTTTGTTGAGTTTTGGAAAGTCAGTTAGGGCTTGACCGCATTGGCAAGGAAATTGAGACAGAGGTAAGAAAGCTCCCATGTGGGGGTGTGAGTGAGGGTGAAGGCCGGCGAGAAAGGATAGAGCCTCTGCTGGATGACTGGCTGGGTCTTGCTGCTGCCTTCCACCAGTAAACAGCCACCTGGCTCTGGGGAGGAGAAAGAAAACGCTTGGGGCCCAACGGTACAGACATGCTTGTACCAAGAGAGACAAATGTCCTTTGGAACCCAAGCAAGAACCCAGAAGGAACTCAAGGCTGTCTGGATGCTCACCATCTTTCCCTAGGATGCCTGGCAACCTTGTATCCATTCGTCCCTTGTAGATGTGTCCATCAAGACCCAAGATGTCAACCTCATCATGC